TACTACTCGATTCTTAGAAGATTCGGTCTGCCCCTCTCTTTGCCCCGGATGTTTCAACCAAATGACCCGGTTGTAAGAAAGTTGATGGAAATTTTGGCCTCTCATGCTGCAGGAAAAACATAACCCATCATTCTGGAACTTTTAAAAATTTTTTGGGTTATCATAAGACAAAGGTCATTAGAAGAACAACTCGAAAACTTGCACATAATTTCATTACCTGCTCTGACGGGTCGTAGTTCGCTTGGCGTACAACATCGATCTTATCCAAGAAACTGAAAAAGTTCTTGAATAACGAGAAGCTAAATTAGACGATATCGAAGGTCAAAACAGAAAGAATATTAAGTGAAATTTGCATTTAATGTAGTCTGAGCTTGACCCCCTTAAAAGCCATTGCTGCAATGAGTGACGCGAAAAAAATCTATAGAACATTAGAACCAATGATTCACGAAATGTTGTAGTGCGCGAGAAAACAACACAACAGAGACAACTTTCGAAGGCACTTCTTGATGCTCGCAAGTACTAACACTGAAACGCTTAAATTTTTTCATTGTCAAATTCGAACTTAGAAACAAGGGAAAATCTACTAAATCAATAGGAGCAGAAATACAAATATAATCCTTCAAGAGCTTCCCAGCCTCTTACTATTCACTGCCCAATTCGGGTGTGCTTCACCAACTTTGCATAATTTTTCATTTCTGGCATGTTTCGAAGAACAGTCAAAATCTCATTTCAAATTGTGGTCAATCCGAAAGAGGTACTGATAAACATAAAATAACTTGGACACATCTTCGACTTACTTCCAATAGCTTTACAGTCGAAGAACGTACCACATGAGATTTTAATTCAACCTAGGACTGTATGAAATGTACAGGCCAGAATTACGTGTGTCTAAAACCCGATCACCAACATTCAACGATCATCGACATTCACTGACAGGCTGGCAGAAAAAATGCTATCGCACTTTTCAAGATAGAATGATAAAAGTATGAATGAAGAAGAAGGGCATGGCGGATTCCAAAAGGATTGATTAACGCCGAATGCTTTACCCCTCTAGCTAATGTTTGGCCGATCCGATTTTTGATGTCTGCTCAAGTGGAAAGAAAATGGATGATTGCTTCAACCTGCTTTTTAGTTAGGTTTATAAAACTTTTGACTCAGACTCGAGAAACCGGAAGCAACTGGACTCTGTTCCTCAATGTGCTAATTTGCTTTAAACGCGCTTCCATCGGATGAAATGGAATCGCAAACACAGGAAGGAGAAAATTCTAGTCCACTTCCAGTCGATGCACTTCCTCAAGACCAAGCCGACAGTCACTAAAACGTTATACTCAAAGCAGTCTCAACAAGTATTCAGCCGAAAGTAGACTTATCGCAATGAATGAAGGATTGCACTAACGAGTGGTTGTCCTTTGATTACCAGTTCAGAGAGAACATCATTTACAATCTACTGATAGGAACCTAAGACTATCAACTTTACTTTGAAAGCTAATCCTGCTGCGAATTCTGCTTGACAGTGAAGATTGAAGACGACTGTTCGTGATTCTACTTGTTTCATGTTCAATGTCTATCAGTTCATTGAAATGCTCATGATTCGTTCCTATTCTATCCTATAATTCTAGATTCTATAATATCAAACAAGTGGAATCATGAGGGCAGTCGTCATTCAGCCATCACTATCAAGCAGAAGTGGCGGCGGCATTGGAGAACACCTTGCAGTATTGATGGGGCACTTGTGATTTCCGTGACCCGTCGCGTGAATCGCGCAAATCGCGAAAATCGCAAAATCGCTGAAATCAGCGAAACCTGCGACGGATCGCGGACTCTGACACCAACCTGAGCTGTAAATTGCTCCGCGGACGAAAAGCGTTGTTAATGATCCAAACTCAAGTATGCTTTTCGCACATCTAAAGCCCATAGTAAACAAAAACGCTGATGAAGCACGTTTACTCGGTCAACATTTACGAGAAAAAGTTGCAAAAGAAAAAAAGCTACCAAACTAGTCAAACCCTCTGCATGAATAGCTACAATACAGAGCTCTCCGTCCTCGACAAAATTTCTTAACGAAACCTTAATACCAACCTTACCAACTATAGGAAATATCGTAAGCGTATGGGCGTTATGGAAGTTTACGAAAACTCAACAGTAACCTGAAAACTCACTATTTTGCGCAGTCAATAAGTTGATACTCGCTGCTCCGTTCGTAACATGCCTGCACGCCCTTGTCGGCCCAACATTTTGCAACGTGGTCATAGAACTCCTGCAATTGAGGTTTTCACCATATTTGATGCCATGCGATTTTGTTTGAACATGAACAAAGGAGGTTCTCAATATTTAAAAAAAACTACCACGATACACGTCACACATGAGAGAAACAACAGCAAAAAACTTGTTCTCAATAATTTGATGTGAAATTTCACTGCGTAAGAACAGCTGCAGTTAAAACATGTTGGAAACAAGATGAAAGCGCGAAAAATAAAGTTAGTTAACACAAATCAATTGAAAAAAGCGCGAATACGATGTTAATAAGTCCAATTAAAACACTTCACAAAAAGCACCGACCCGATTGTGTCAAAAGAAGATCACTCATACAACAAGATCGACATAGATGATTTTAATTGGCACATAAATGCAAATAAATCTGCCATACCTGTGTAAATTCTCCATCTACTTCGTTCACACAGTTCAACACATAGTCCATGCTCGCCTGAGTGCTTGGATCGTCCAGGAACACTCGCGGATCGATCGTGCCCATCGCGCGCAGAATTACCTTCAATCAAACAACATGTCGCGCTCGAATCTTACAGTCTCAACAACACTTATCGACTATCGCCTTCTTAAGCGTCCCTGAGAATAAAACCAGTTGCCAGGATTTCGAGGAAGATGTTTTTAATACATAAACGTTCCCATGGAACAACAATTATGCTGAGTCATGCTAGAAACACGTTTTCGCCGTCTAAATATAGAACAAGACGCCAATAGTCAGCAGCATCGTTGATTGAAAGTGCATAGCATTTCATTTCTCAATAAAAAGCGTGATGCTAAAAATAGCACACGTGAATGTGCCGACTACAATGATAAGGATTAGCGCTATTTACAACGTGCTATTAGAGCCTACATGAATGAATAGATAGTATGACTTGAACTAGTTCTTCTGATCGCGATGAACAACATACACACCTGCATTGAATCGCGGATGTTCCTTCGAATATCTTTGATTTTCTCCATTTTTTCAGCCTCGCTAAAGCCGTTGATGTGCAATATTCGCATTTGTTTTACGATTGTGCTTTTGCCACTCTCACCAGCACCAAGTAAGAGGAGCCGATGCGTGGCGCGCATGACCTGAAACAACACAATACCCCAAAATACACTTCACATCTATTTTTAGCACACACCAGATCAATAACTAATAAACAACCACTGGACGAAATTTCACGGGGAATTTTCGTGGTCAGGGCTCACCTGCTTGTCCTTGGCGAGCTGCTCCTCGATCTGCTTGTTGACTTTCCGCGCTTCGCGGCCTTCCGCGTCCGCGCCAGCGCCAGAAACGCAGCCCATCAGCCGCATCCTACCAGGCCAGAGAGACTGCGCGCACGCCGGCGCGGCCGCTATGGCCTCACGCGACGCGACCGCTTCGCCGCTATTGCTCTCCGTTCAAGACCGTCTTCAGATAGTCACTTCAGTGTCCTTTGATAAGCCAAAATCTGAGTGATCAACAAGCCGATAGTCTGATTCTGAAAGTCACAAAGCTCATAACATCTGCCAACTAACTTCTGAGGTAGTCTCGGTTGGTTTGATTAAGTTTACGCTCCACGCCGTGGCTAATTTTTCAGTGAAAACTCGCTTTTAATGAGTCATTTTCTATGTGACTCATCACGACTCCTTCCTCGTAATTTCTTTACTGCTTAGGTTCCTTCGTTGTCGAATGCTCGTTCATCTTTGGCATCACTATTATAGTGAGTTCCTCTCGTACTTCAGGTAGAACTCTCATCTGAGTCGCGAGACGCTTGCGTTGGAGCCGTTTCCGTACATCAAGCTATGGCGACAACCTCTTTACAGGTACAATACTACAGTTAAATTTATTAGTTGATAATGATTTCTTAACCGAAAGATTGTTCTGTAACACGTTGGCCCTCGGAAATCCATAAGGAAGCGTTCATTGAGCGACACAACTTTTCGAAACTAATATGTCAAGCTCGGAATGTGGAAATAGTAGATTACGTAAGACAAGCCACGGTGTACAAACCGAGGTAGTTGTGAAAAGTGATTGCCAGAAGTTAGCGTGATGCAACTTGTTGGACGTCCATTCCCATTACTGAAACACGACGCTATGCGTGGAAGATTAAGGGATCAGATCAAGACGCTACAACTGTGTGATTTCTTGTCATTATTTCATTGCTTAGTGAGCGCGCTGCTTTTGTGTCAAATTTAATTTGGAATATTTTCTCACTGATCAAAAGATTAGGTTACTTGAAAGTGCAATGAGAGAGCATTTTCAATTCATAATATTTATTTGGCAACAATATGGTGGCTGTTTGGTATTTTCATACCCCGCGCCTCGACAATTTTTAAAAGCGAATCGAATTGTACACAACTGCTACCGGAACAGGACAAGCGCTGCAAATATGCAACCCAAGCCATAACACATCACTCTACCATCACAAGCGATAGCGTATTTCATTCACGCTATACCACAAACAAATCACCTACACTCTTCAAGCTTGCACCGAAGTAAATCTTGAAGACCTCCTTGCGTCGGCCGATCTGATCTTATGTATTAAATGTTGGCTTCTATTAATTCATGAACTGCAATCACAGGAAACACAGTCCTTAGACGATAACTCCTATGGTGTGTTATGGTGTGGTAGAGATTCACATGTGAAAAGAACAAATCTGTATTTAAGCTCATCTGCAGCTATCTACTTTGTTGAATTTGCGCATGGAAACCATCTTAAACCCAAAACTGGGGCCTAAGCGATTGCCAGGCCCGCTAGTGGGTAAAGATGATTGTGATTGATGGTTCGTGATTTTCGATTCGATGCCTTTCAACTGCTAATCGTTGGAGGGCGTGAACACGCCTTTAACTTTTTTTTTTCAAATCTTCATTCCTCGCGTAATACATGTGGTTCAAGGCCAGACTTATTCAACGCTAAATACAGGCGTAATAGTGTAACTCAAGCAAGTATTAGTTACAGTAATTAGTGTATTCTTTTGAAAATATTCACCGGTGCTTTTCCAACGGATAACTCTGTTTTTGTCCTAGTTATCCTGAGGGGAATGACATATCACAGAAAAGTGGTAAATAGCTTGAAAAAACATTCCGAGTATGAATTGGACGTATACACTGCAAGGAGATGTTGAGTATATTTTGTTAATTCAGCGATTCGCTAGTGAATCGCTGGATGCGAGCGTTGCACCAGCCAATTGAGCTTTTTTCCACCGGATCGGACGATGTGCCAGCTACTCGAACAACTGTTGAAAGTGGCGGGACTTCTTAAAACGTTGATCCCGCTACTTAAAAGTCGGTGTCGAGTCGCTGGTATAAAGGTATACTCGCTCGTTCGACAGGCACATCCTTTTATTCTGGTGGCACTATTCGATCCCTGTACTCAGAAGCAATTGCTGGTGCATAGGCTCGCTTTAGCGATTCACTCACCGAATCGTGGATTCATGAAGTCTGATATAGGCCTAAAGCTCTGTAAATAGTGGATAATCTTTCAATACTTGTATCTAAGAGCTTTGGCATGTTTCTGCTGTTCACAAGGGCTTTGCTACCATGCACAGAAAGCAGAGGTTGTTAGGACAGCTCGCCTTCTTTATTGTTAGGCCCTCCCAGTATATTAAGAGGAGCTTACCAATGAGAAGGTGCAGTGGACCAGCTGAGACCCATTGTGTGCTCAGCACCTCTCTCCAGAGTGTTTGAGAATAAAGAAAAGTAAAATTTCTACTCCATTCTTTCATATATTCAACGTCCCTACACTTAAGCAGTGCAAACCTTTTTAGATGTTGTTGACTTGACTTGTTTTGTTTATGCTTTGGTTTCGTAGGGCGCTCATGTCGTTAGGGGGACGTTCAAAACAGAGTGTTCAAAAGCCGTTGGTAGATCACACTAGGGCCGACTCAGGCAAGTCTGCTAATCGATACCCATCGAATGCTGTGCGACAGTTACGTTCGTTGCTGTCGGACGACCGACTATACATGTGCCGTTAACGCTTAGTTCAAATACTCTATATTGCCCAATCACTTGAATGTCCCTCCCCCCCCCCCCCCCCCCACCTAACACATGAGCGCCTTGGTAAGCGTTCGCATTGAAACTACAAGGGGTGACAGAGGCATATTTTTCCATAACACATCTTATAATAACATATGACTTCATAGTTTTTCTCACTACAGAGGGGTCTGAGTAAGCGCTGAAGCTTCTCATGCCTATGAAAGATGCGGCAGAAGATGCTATTCGATCGTATGGCAGCGAAGAAACTACGAAATTTCAAGAAGTTAACTGAATTCAGGAAAAATTACCGTATCCACTACTTAGCTAAGTGCATGTCCGAGTAATCGCAAACCGTGTCTGCTGGAATATTTTGAGGGGTGAAGCCATTATTGTCTGTGTAAGAAGTCCACCCCTCATTTCTATGTTTGCCTGCGCTAATTCTGTTTGCGAAATTTTTCAGTACTCACCCTTTCCTTACCTTTGCCTCCTAGTTGCAAAGCTTCCGAATTTTTGAGTCTTTTTACACACAGTTCTTCTGATTTGAAAATACAAATTGATTGCATTATAGATGAAGCTCAAGGTGATAAGCAGAAGGAGACTATCAGGTCTAAATGCACAACATATTTGAATCGATACGAACAAATCAAGAAGTTCCTCAAGGAGGGCAAGGGCAAAAAACCTGTTAAGGTAATTTTTTGTTGAAACTCTTTCCTTTTCCCGGTCCTGAGCCCGCAGCTTTATATTTAACTGATAACATTTTACGTACTCGCGTAGTTATTAACATTTCAAAATTCAAAACTTATCCAAGTTCTGTCGAGTGAGAAAAAAACTGACTTTGTCCTCAAAGGTGTAAGTGTTTAACGCTAACGGATGAGCAGGTGCTGCTTATAGCTCTCCTTTTATCCTAATCATATCGTCGTCGAGGTCAAAAAAAACAATTGTATTACCAATTTCACACCGGCTAAGCTCTTTCATTATTCTTTTGATTATAATGCCGTGTCATGAGCAGCCTCCAGTGAAAATGTGGCTAAAATTTGCCTGTTTCTATGTGCACGATTAAGTGTCAACATGAAATTTCCCTGTTCATAAAAAGCAACCAGCTGCTTTCTGTTCCTTCAGAAATGTGATAAAATACGCGAGAAAATTCCTCTAGGATCAGTGAAGGTATATGTTGCGCCTAACCTCAACGTAAGTGCTTTTGCACGTGTTTCGTAGGCATAACACCTCTCTATGAGCATTATGATTGCGCATGAGAGAGAAACTGGACCCGTCTAAAATATCCATTGGTCCCTTTCTACTTTTTACCCGACTTCCGCTTAAAAATGATCTCTTACAGGAAGGCAAAGATTCGAAAGACAGTGACTCGGACGAGGATGCGGATAAGAAAAAGCTTCAGGTAATACTCAAGCCCCTTCTCAAGTGTGCATTCGTCATCTGTCATTCATCTTAACTGTATTCAAAGCGCTGCCGACTATGAACTTTAACACTGATTTTTCGGTTGGAGTTATCAGTACAAGTTCTGCAAACTCAGCATAAGTGGAGCTCAGCAAAGGAGCTGACAACAGCGTGACGCGGTTGCGCATCCCATTTTGCACACCATACACCACGTCGGACATTGTGACGCGGAAACGCGCCCCACACAAGTCCTCCCTTTCTCTCGTCTTACGCGACTTCTTCCCGAATTGTTACTGTTCTTTCTATGGATCACACATAATATAAGTGTAAACGACATGGTTCACCATATAGTCAAGTATACTCAGTTTAGAAAAGCTTTTGTAAGCTTTACAAAATTGACAGCTCGCTTCATTCCTCATTCTCTTCATATCCTTCTATTATATAAAGCGCTAACTTTGTGTGTCGGTTTGTGTATCTGTATGTGTGTGTGTGTGTGCGTGTGTGTGTGTATGTATGTGTGTCCGTCCGCAAAATGAAGTGAGTGAGAAGGAAGCTCATGGGATAAACAAACCGCTAACAAATCGGGTAGCTTACAGGATTTGAGATATCAATGTTTTGTAGCAGGATAGTTGTGATAACACTCTCAGGGCTATATAAACACCTGCTTAGCACACTTCCGTTCATTCCACATGGTGCTGCAGTGGCAGCTGGAGGGCAGTGGAGAGAGGAAGGGAGGATGAGGAAGGGAAGCGAAAAATCTACCGTCATATCATGATTGTGTCCCTTCTACTGTTGAAACACCATTGTGTTGCATACGCGTCACTTCCAGGTGGTTTGGTGTCACAGGAGGAAGGGACCATAGCGGAGGATAGAAAGCTTGCGCAGGAAAGGAAGGTCCCGGCGGTTGACGGGGGACTAATCTGGTATGTATAAATGCAAGCAAAAATGATCGAGCAGAAGAAAATGCAAACCTATGCGGCTAGCAAACATTTCTCTTATCTCTCTTCATTTCTCGACCAAAATAATTTCACATCTAAAAGGAGAAAAGAGGTAAAATTTGCTCTCTCATCACTCTTACACGTTCATTTAGTCGGAATTCCACCTCTATACGCCCTAGTAATTTCTACTAATAGATTGATGTCGAAATTTTTTGTTTCATTCAAGATATGCATAGTTGTTACTAAAAATTCACGGGTGAGGTGAAGTGAGGTGGGTGGCCGCGCTCACAAGACCGCGCCTGTCCCATGTGGCTAGGAAAGCCGAAAGGCGCGCTGTCGTCAACGTGTTAAAGTGGGAGTCGTGCTGACTGATCTGTAGTAGCATTCCTTATATTGCAGTCTTGGCTGTGTCGCGTGAATGAGGCATGAACTCAAATCCTTTTTGAGTATGTACACAACCTTGATAAGTTCCCATTTTTTCATTCTGCAGCGCAAAGTAGGGAAACGAAAAATGCACTTGTGCAGATACCACTCTCTACTCCCGCCCAGAAACTGTAAAGACGATACCCGGCTCCAGGGAACTGCTCACCGTCCATTGGGAAATTCCCAAGAAGGGGCATTGTATGTATGATATTCGGAAGAAGGTGAAAAGACTTTTTTGGTGGCATGAGTATTCCAAATGTTCGTGGAAAGGGTGCGAGAAGAAGTTTTCAGCAATTCGAAAAAATTCCCGGTAATTTGTTCGTAATTCCTCCTAATTATTCGTATGTATCATCTCCCGAAAGTCCTTAACGAAAATATAAATAGTTGACCTTGCGTCCGAGTGCAAAGGAATGCTAAGCGTGAACCTGACTCTGCTCGTTCAACTTTTCAGTAAATTGACTACCCATTCAGCGACACTGCGAGCCTCGGTGGTTTCATGGCTTGTGTATTTGATAGAGATTCTACTCACAATCGGCTCATTGGGATAAAACGGCGGACTCCTTTGGGAGGGTATGATCTCATGCTGGTTTTCAGAAGGTCTTGGCAGCGTAAATTGCCCGGATTCTTACCTAAAGCTTAATTGACTCGGTAATGGAAACATAGTGAGAAATGCTTTCCATCGTGAACATTCCATCCAGGCCGAGTGCACAGTTGTAATAGAACTGTGTTGAAATTAGAGAAGATAATGAGATGGATTCGTATTGAGTGTTTGTTGAAGTAAATGTTGGCAGTGGGGGATACATTGCCTTCTCATGTTGCTTTTTTAAGTTTTGGGTACTTTTTGGCTTTGGTGAACGCTCGCCTTCTATAGTGGAGAAATTCAAGCACAATCTTACCTCAATCAGTGTGAAATTCGGTCTCGTTGGAGGAGGATTTGGTCGAAGTCTTGTCTTCCAAAACGTTCCTCACAGTGTTGCGTTATTTCATTGCTGCCAAACACAAAAGTCTTTGTTAGTGCAGTGCATTTTCTCGGCCGTACTCACCATTTTAGCTTGGTAAAGCAACTCAGGCAGTTGATTGTGATATTTTCGCCCCGCATAGTGATAATTGGG